GGGGGCAGGGGGAAGAAGGCCAGAGAGCGCTGAAGGATACAAATACTGGAACCCTCTTGTGATTTTGTGGGGGGCCTCGTCCGGCCGCTCGCTGGGAGTTTGACGTAGCTTCTCGGGAGCCTCTGAACCTGTCGGGGGCCTCCTGGAAGCAGGTTCGAAGCATTTTGGGGGCCGATTTGGGGCTTCTCGGGGCCTCCTTTGGGCCTCTTGGGGGTCTCCTGGGGCCTCTTGAGGGGCCTCCTTGGGGCCTCCTGGCGGCCTCTTGGGGCGGAAGGCTCGAGCTTGCGGTTCGTGGTCCCCCTCTGGGCCCCCTCTTGGGCCCGTCTTGGGGCCCTCTTGGGCCATCTTGGGCGCCTCTTGGGCCGTCTTGGGGCCCTCTTGGGCTGTCCTGGGGCCCTCTTGGAAGCTTCTTGGGCCGTCTTGGGGCGGTCTTGGGCGCCTCTTGGGCCGTCCTGTAACGTCGGAAAGCCCAAAAGACAACTTTGTTGAACATGTACGTTTTACGAAGGGAATGGGCCAACTTTTGCGTCTGGGGCCCTCTTGGGACGCATGTTGGAGGCTTCTTGGGGCGTCTTGGGGGCGTCCTTGGACGTCTGGGGTCTCCTGGGGCCTCTTGAGGGGCCTCCTGGGGGCCTCCTGGCGGCCTCTTGGGGCGGAAGGCTCGAGCTTGCGGTTCGTGGTCCCCCTCTGGGCCCCCTCTTGGGCCCGTCTTGGGGCCCTCTTGGGCCATCTTGGGCGCCTCTTGGGCCGTCTTGGGGCCCTCTTGGGCTGTCCTGGGGCCCTCTTGGAAGCTTATTGGGCCGTTTTGGGCCGGTCTTGGGCGCCTCTTGGGCCGTCCTGTAACGTCGGAAAGCCCAAAAGACAACTTTGTTGAAATGCACGTTTTACTAAGGGAATGGGCAAATTTTTGCGTCAGGGGCCCTCTTGGGCCGCATGTTGGAGGCTTCTTGGGGCCTCTTGGGGGCGTCCTTGGACGTCTGGGGTCTCCTGGGGCCTCTTGAGGGGCCTCCTGGGGGCCTCCTGGCGGCCTCTTGGGGCGGAAGGCTCGAGCTTGCGGTTCGTGGTCCCCCTCTGGGCCCCCTCTTGGGCCCGTCTTGGGGCCCTCTTGGGCCATCTTGGGCGCCTCTTGGGCCGTCTTGGGGCCCTCTTGGGCTGTCCTGGGGCCCTCTTGGAAGCTTCTTGGGCCGTCTTGGGGCGGTCTTGGGCGCCTCTTGGGCCGTCCTGTAACGTCGGAAAGCCCAAAAGGCGACTTTGTTGAAAATGTACGTTTTACGAAGGAATGGGCAATTCTTGCGTCTAGGGGCCCTCTTGGGACGCATGTTGGAGGCTTCTTGGGGCGTCTTGGGGGCGTCCTTGGACGTCTGGGGTCTCCTGGGGCCTCTTGAGGGCCTCCTGGGGGCCTCCTGGCGGCCTCTTGGGGCGGAAGGCTCGAGCTTGCGGTTCGTGGTCCCCCTCTGGGCCCCCTCTTGGGCCCGTCTTGGGGCCCTCTTGGGCCATCTTGGGCGCCTCTTGGGCCGTCTTGGGGCCCTCTTGGGCTGTCCTGGGGCCCTCTTGGAAGCTTCTTGGGCCGTCTTGGGGCGGTCTTGGGCGCCTCTTGGGCCGTCCTGTAACGTCGGAAAGCCCAAAAGACAACTTTGTTGAAAATGTACGTTTTACGAAGGGAATGGGCCAACTTTTGCGTCTAGGGGCCCTCTTGGGACGCATGTTGGAGGCTCCTTGGGGCCTCTTGGGGGCCTCCTTGGACGTCTGGAGGCCATCTTCAGCATCTCGGAGCCCTCTTGGAGGCCTCTTGGAAGTTTCTTGGGCCGTCTTGGGCGCTTCTTGGGCCGTCTTGTCTGACTGGGGAGGCCTCCGGCAAGCCCCGACGAGCCTCCGGGCCCCCCGGGGTGCACATTTGTGGTCGAGGTCCCGGCCCCGGGCCCCCGGACCCGGTGCGCCGTTATATGTATATTCTCATACGCGCCTCTCCGAAGGAGTAGAGCTCAGAGGCGATTGATGCGTACGCGGGGCGCCGCGTTCGCGATTTGTGTGGCCGTTTCACTGGGGACATCCTCGAAATTCTGAAAAGCGGTGGCACCCCTCACGCAGATCGTGACGTCAGGGTCAAAAAACACATTGGAATTTCAACATTTTAACATAAGACCTTCAACAACACATGGTAATTTCAATCATGTTGTCCCCGATTCTCAGAGAATGGCGGTTTCGCATGAAACATCCTCCCAAAATCGAGCCCCGACGTACCCTCTGGTACCCCAGACCCCGCCTCGGAGCCTCCTGGGGGCCTCCTGGAACCTCTTGGGGCCTCCTGAGGCTTTCTGAACCTTCTGGTACCCCAGACCCCGCCTCGGAGCCTCCTGGGGGTCTCCTGAAACCTCCTGGGGCCTCCTGGAGCCTCCTGCGGCCTCATGGAGCCTCTTGGGGTCTCCTGAAGCCTCCTGGGGTCTCCTGGAGCCTCCTGAGGCCGCCTGGGGCCTCCTGGGGCCTCCTGGGGCCTCAGAACTACATGCACACACAGAGAGACACAAATCACGCCCAATACATCACACGCTAGACAAACATAAAACACACACACACACACACACAACACCTACAACGCACAAAAAGCACGCACAACGCAGAGCACACATCACACACACACACACACACACACACACACACACACACACACAACACTCACAATCCTGGGGCCTCCTGGAGCCTCTTCTGGTATCCAAGTCGGGCCTCCTGAGGCTTCCTGGGGGGCCCTGGTACACACATCGCAAGGTGTGGCGACCCCATTTGCGCTCGAGTGCGACTTCGCTGTTGCATTTCACTCCTGCTTCAAACGTCCCTTCGGTTTTTTGTATGAGCCTGGGCACACACGTGACACTTGTGTGTACATATATATATAAACATAGAGAGAGAGAGAGAGAGAGAGGGAGAGAGAGAGAGAGAGAGAGAGAGAGCGAGATTGGACGAGGGAGACGGGACCAGGGCATCCATGGCGAGGATGCCTCCTGGAAGCGGCATCGAGAACGCGAAGGCACCCCTGGCATGGCGGAGGAAGCAGAGAAGAGACGGGAAAACGAGGAGGAGAAGGAAAATGACGGGTAAGACGGGGAGGAGGGGGAGGGGGAGGAGGAGAAGGCGGAGGAGGAGGAGGAGGAGGAGGAGGAGGAGGAGGACGAGGACGATGAGGAGGAGGAGGAGGAGGAGGAGGAGGAGGAGGAGGAGGGTGAGGACGAGGAGGCGGCGGAGCAATCGGCCCTGGGGCGGGGGGGGAAGAGGCAGCACCCACAGGGACCACATGCCGCCAGGAAGCAGCAACCAGGAGGAGGAGGATTGCGAGGAGGAGGATTGCGAGGAGGAGGAGGAGGAGGAGGAGGAGGAGGAGGAGGAGGAGGCGGAGGAGGCGGAGGAGAAGGCGGAGGAGGAGGAGGAGGAGGAGGAGGAGGAGGAGGAGGAGAAGGCGGAGGAGGCGGAGGAGAAAGCGGAGGAGGAGGAGGAGGAGGGGGAGCAGTAGCAGGGAGGAAGAGAAGCACTGCGAAGAGGAGGAGGAGGACGCGGAACACGAGGAGGAGTACGAGGAATACAAGGGGAAGTAAAGGAGGAGTGCGATGAAGAGGTAGAGGATGAGGATGAGGAGGAGGAAGAGGAGGAGGATGAGGATGACGAGGAACACGTCGAGAAGGAAGAGCACCAGGAAAGTAATGAGGATTCGTATGAGGAAGGGGAAGAAGGAGGAATGAGATGAGGAGGTACAGAAGGACAAGGAGGAGGAAGAGAAGGAGAAGGAGGGGGAGGAGGCAGGAGGAGGAGGTGCAGTGGAAGTGGGAAGGGGGAGGGCGAGAAGGATAACGACGCGGATGCGGAGGAGGAAGGGGAGGAGGAGGACGACGACGAGGGCGAAGAGCTCGACGACCACGCGGAAGGCGCAGACGGATTAGGAGCAGGAGGCCGCGCGGCTGACTCAAGGGGCCCAAGGACACACAAATTCGCCGGCCCAACGGGCCAGAGGCGTGCTAAGATCTCCGGTAACTGGTTAACAATTTTCTAGTTCGCGCGCGCGGGGCGGCCCCTGGGGGTCCCCGGACGAAAAGTACCCCGACCAGGTCCCGGCCGGGTCCCCCCGAGCGCTCCATGAGCGCACCAACAGGGCTCCGAGACGTCCCCGAGAGCCCCAAGAAAGGCCAAGAGGCCCCCAAGAGGCCCCCAAGATGGTACACGAGGGGTCCGACATGCCACAAGATCGCTCCAAGACGCCCAAGATAGCCCCCAGACGCCCCAAGAGGCCTCCAAGAGCACTCCCAATAGGGCCCCCGGAGGCAAAAATCATTGTTTTTCCATAGGTTTTTGAGAGATTTTGGAGCTTCCACCTTTTCGGCTTCCCGACGCCCCAAGACGGCCCAAGAGGCCCCCAAGATCGCCCCAAGAGGGCCCAAGAGGCACCCAAGAGGGCCCCAAGATGGCCCAAGAGGGCTCGAAGACGGCCCAAGAAGCCTCCAAAACGGTCCAAGAGGGCCCCAAGAACGCCCCCAAAGGGGCCCCAGAGAGGGAACACGAAACAACATTTCGAGCCCTCGGCCCTAAGAAGCCCCTACGAGGCCCCTAAGAGGCCCCAAGAGGCCCCCACGGGGCCCTCAGGAGGCCCCCAAGAGTCCCCCAAGCGGCCCCAGGAGGCCCCCCAAATGCCCCCCCGAGCGCCCCAGGAGTCCCCCAAGCGGCCCCAGGAACCCCCAAAGCGCCGCATTGACACCAGGCCCTCGGGCAAACGGCAGACATGAGACTGTATGGGCCGGCGGAATGAGCGAAGCGATTAAATAAATACACACAAATAAAATGATCCCCCATATTTGCCTATATTTTATGGGTTTTTGTCTTCCCGCCCACTTCCCATATTTTCCCATATTTTCTAGGAAATCGAGGATTAATTGTGTCTGTGTGTTTCTTTTCCTCCTGACTGACATTGTACGCACGACGCGAGCATGTCTGGGCACGGCTTGCCGGGCGCCAGCCTCGACGGATAGTGCCCCGGCGGCGGGCCGTAGTGCAACGGCGGCGTGTGCACGGCCCACGGCAGGTGGGGCGGCTGCGGCGGGGCCACGTGCACCTCTCGGCACAGCAGCCGAGGCACGCGTCCTTGTCTTCCTCCTCCTCCTCCTCCTCCTCCTCCTCCTCCTCCTCCTCCTCCTCCCCCCTGTCTTCCTCCCCCTCCTCCTCCTCCTCCTCTTCCTCTTTCCCCCCTCCTCCTCATCCTCCTCCTCCTCCTCATCCTCCTCCTCCTCCTCCTCCTCCTCCCGGTCGCAGGCAGGGGGGTGAGACAGCAGTGAAACGGAGACCCCCCTTGCCACGAAATCGGTCTCGGCTCCGTGGTCGTGTCGCGCGTGCGGAAGAGGCGAAGCTGCGAAGGCGGGCGAGAGGAATGAGCCATCCTCCGGCTAGCACCGCCCCCGTGTTGTCCTCGGGTGTCCCGCCGTGGTGTCCCGATGGTGTCCTGTGGTGTCCCGTGATGTCCCGTGGTATACTGCGGTGTCCCGATGGTGTTCCGATGGTGTTTTGGTGGTGTCCCGATCGTGTCCCGATCCCGATGGTGCCCCGATGGAGTCCCAGCGTTGTCCCGACAGTATCCCGATGGTGTCCCGTGGTGTCCCAGTAATGTCCCGATGGTGTTCCGATGGTGTCTCGACGGTGACTACCACGTCTATCGCCACCATCACCATCATCACCACCAGCATCACCACCACCACCACCGCCACCACCACCACCACCACCACCATCACTGTCATCGCAGTTGTTTGGCTCCAACAAGCACTTCCAACGAGCGCGCTTTCTACTGCCTTGACCCACTGGCGTGGGTACTGCGTTCGAAGAAGACCTCGCAGGCACAGCACCAGCATCGTCACCATCACAATCGCTGTGATTGTCATCAGTTGGTTCTTCCCCCACACACACACACAATCAACCTCCTTACCTATATGACCACCCTTCAGGATATTAGGTCCGGGGGAGAACCAGTATCTCACTCAATCGATCTCACTATCTATCTCGCAATTAATCTCACTATTCCTCTCACGATCGATCTCACTACCGATCTCACTATCGATCTCACAATCGACCTCACAATCGGCCTCAAAATCGATCACTGTCGATCTTAATGTCGATGACAATCTCACTATCGATCTCACTATCAATGGCGCGATCGATCTCACTATCAGTGTCACTATCGGTCCCACTATCGATCCCACGATCGGTCTCACTATGGATCTCACTATCGGCATCACTATCGATCTCACTGTCGATTGCTCTATTGATCTCACCATCGACTTCACGATCGATCTCACTCACTATCGATCTCAATATCGATCTCACTATCGATCTCACGGGACATCATCGGGACACCTGGGGACACCGCGGGACACCGCAGGACATCACGGGACCCCACGGGACCATCGGGACACCGAGGCGGAGCACCGCAGGACACCATCGGGACACCATCACGGGACACCATCGGGACACCGCGGGACACCGCGGGACACCACGGGGCACCCTCGGGACACCACGGCGGGACACCCCCGGCACTCCCCCGCCAGGCGGCCCAGGGGACTTCTGTCCTCGCCGCGCCTTCGCCAGAGGATGGTTCACTCCTCTCGCCCACCCACACAGCTTCGCCTCGCCCGCACGAGAGACCCGATCCCGAAACCGAACCAATCTCCTGGTGGGGAGCTCTCCATCCCACTTCGATCTCACGCCCTCACCTCCGATCGCCCGAAGGGTGGTCGTATAGGCATTCAAACATGAACCTCTTGGCTCGGCGGCGAGCGCTGGGGGGAGTGAGAGGAGGCGGGCCTTCTCAGAAGCCTCGGAAGGCCTCGAGCCTCCTGAGAAGCTTTCTGGGCCTTCCCCGAAGACATAGCAGACTGCTCGGAAGGCTGAAGGGCTTCTGAGAAGCCCCGCCGCCTTCTGAGAAGGCCTGCTCCTGCTCAACTCCCCCGGGCGCGCCGCCGATTGGCACCCATCGGCCTAGGGCTGTCTTCGGCCACCTTCGGTGGTCTTCGGCGGTGGTCTGACGGTCTTCAGCAGTCTTCGCTGGTCTTCGGCAGTTTTGGTCTTCGCCGGTTTCAGGTAACCTTCGGCGGTTTCCGGTGGTCTTCGGCACGAAAGCTGGAGGGCTGCATTCAACGAAGGCTCCATAATCGAACTCCGAAGGAGCAGCAGATCGCGTCTGCCGAATCGAAGATAGCACCAGCTCTAAGCAACGCAAGATGGCTTCGAGGGTGAGGTCGGGCGACCTCCTCAGAGCAAGCGCGGCAATGATACGTGCTCTCGTGTTCGATCGAATGGCCGAGCATGGATCTGCTGTAGGGGCGGCCGCCACTTCAGTCACTGGCTGGTCTCTGGGTGATTCCGCCTTCGTGCCCTCCGGTCGCGAAGGGAGGACCCAGGAGAGTCTCACAAAGAGACCACATACCCCAAATAAAAAACATAACGGCCAAGACGGCATCTGGAGCCCAAAATAAAAACCCAAGAAGGCCTCAAAAAACTCAGGAGGCCCCCCCAGTCCGCCACAGACGACACGTTCGGGCGAATTGATATGCTTGTCAGTTGTACTGCACGGTTTCTGGGGAAGCCAAGAGGCACCGATACCGCTACTCTCCAGACCTCTCCCTGGGTGCGCTCTGGCCAGGATTTCGAGGCGAATCCCGCGGTGGCGACGAGGGCCTCCCAAGAGGCCCAAAAAGGCGAAGCCGAGGCACGGGCAGCGGTGTCGGCACCTTTTCCTCCTCGAGATTTCGGTGACGCTCCTACGTCCGATCTCCCTGTCGCAGCACGCACCCTTCGCAGAATTGTACCCCCCCTGGCTTTGCTCTCCGGCGCCCGTCTCGACGCCCAGACGTCTCCACACCAGCCAGACGCCCCAAAGACCGCCAAAGACGACCCGACAAGCCCCCCGAGGCTGCAGAACCTATGTAACATCAATGCGTGCGGCTGCCAAGGAGTCAAGAAGCCCCCGAGACAGCTCTGGACTGCCCCAGAGAGCCCCCACAAGGCCCAACGACTGCCCAAGAACCCTCCAAGACATCCCAAGAGGGCTCCAAGACGGCCCCAGGACGCGCCCAGATCCTCACAAGAAGGTTCAACTGAGCCTCATCGAGAAAGCTCGGCGGAACCATTGCGCCCAAAACGGCCCTGGGACCCCCGATGGGCCCCCGACAGGTCCCAAACAGGGCCCCAAGCGAGCCCCGAGAGGCCCCCAAGAAGCGCCGCATATATTCGAGTTTGATTGGAGGGGACGCGCGAGTGGATAGGAGACCCGTTGCTATAGGCATGTAGAGGACATGGATCTCGAAACAGAGGACACACAGGTACCCTTGAAGTGGAAAGGTCGACCTACTAATCAAACTCGACTGTATGCCGTCTGGATTGAGGGGCAGAGGGAGAGGAGAAGGAGGAACGTGGAAGGAAGAAGGACGAGGAGAACGAGCCTGTGGACAGAGAGGGGGCGTTCGAGACCCGCGCCAGTTCAGACAGAGCACTGAACTGCAGCGGGGCCCAAGAGGGCCCCGACCCGAGTCCCCCAAGACGCCCCCTGAGAGCTCCAAGAGGTCCCGAAGACGTCCCGATAACGCCGAAAGATGACTCAACAGTCATTGCAAAACATTCCTCTCCACCTCCATTTCTGTCTCTCTCCTCCTTTACAGCTTTCTCTCCATCGGGGAAACGAGCTATTCTATGGGACTGCCCACCTGGATGTGGGAAGAAAGGCGTCCATAGCAGTGCGCTGGCACAGTGGCGGACCGTGCCATAACCACCTAGGTAGAAAGGCCATCATTGCGAACCATCTTCACGCCGATGAAACCTGACACGCGACTTAGATCGGGCGGACCAGGGATGGACGCCAACTGAGCCAGGTTAGTTGTATCTTTACTATGTGGGAGCTCGGAGAGCGCGCTGCCTACTTAACTCCTGCCGGGCCGCACAACTTCCGCCAGCAGTGCTCGGGACGGGCCGACCGAGCAGGGATGCAAGGGTAACCGTGATGAAGCAGCGAATGCTTATCCGCCGACCGCCGACCCCTTGGAGGTTATCGGCGTGTGAGATGTTTCCCCCCCCCCCCGAACCCCTCCCCCAGAAGCCTGGTCCGGTCGATTTGGATGGGGGGGGTCCCCATGGAATCCGCGTGAACGCATCTGGGGGGGCAGAGGGCACCCGAACAGGCCAAGTGGGCCCCAAGAGGCCCTCAGGGCGGTCCACGAGGGCCACGACTCGCTGAAAGATCGATCCAAAACGCCCGCGCTGGCCTCCAGACGGCCCAAGAGGCCCCCAAGACGCCCCAAGAAGCCCCCAAGAGGCGTCCCAAGAGGGACTCCGGTAGCAAGAATCGTCTCATCGCTTCGCGGGAGTTCACAACGTCCCAGACGGCCCAACAGGCCTTCAAGTTCGCCCCAAGACGGGCGGAGAGGCCCTCAAGAAGGCTCCAAGACGACCCAAGAGGGCCCCAAGACGGCCCAAGAAGCCCCCAAGAAGGCCCAGGAGGGCCCCAGGACAGCCCCAAGAGGGGGCTCAGAGGTGGAACACAAACGGACATTTCGAATCATCCACCCCAAGACGCCTCCGAATTGCCCCAAGAGGCCCCCAATAGGCCCCCAGGAAGCCCCAAGATGGCCGTACAAAGCCCCCAGGAGGCCCCCAGGAGGCCCCCAAGAGGTTCCAAAACTGCCTCCAAGACGCCCCCGAGACGACTCCCACGAGACCCCATCAGCCATGCGAGCGACCTCAGACCCGTAACCCAAGCACTGTGGCGGGGTGTGCCGAAGGCAATTCGATAAGCATTCGAAGGGGTACGACGAATGTTGCAGGGTGTTTGTCGAGGAGCTCTCTGTCTTCTACTGCGACATCCGCAGGGTCTGCTGGTCGAGGGGAGTCCAGGTGGACTGGTGGGCAGCTGGGAAACGCCTACTCCAGCGCAACGAACACCAACGCGACAAGGGGCGTGGCAAAGCGAAAGGCAACGACCAGCCCTGGAAAGGCAAGAGGCAAGCCGACCCCACCCGGCCCAACAACGACCAGTCGAAGCCGCGCCGCCCCGACCTGTCTTGCATACCCGGCCCCCAAGGCCCCCGACACCACGGCCATGCCTGGCGACGGCCCGCGCTGGCACGCGCCATCAAGACATGCCAACGGACAAACCCGCTTTCCTGCTGCAGCCAGCCTGCCCAGGCGAGGCGCAGACTCCATAGCCCATGGACCTGCCCCGGGGCACCGCGCCCCAGGCTTCCGCGGAGCGCCCTCCCTGGACGACGTACGCCCCCACCGCGGGAGTCGAGTTGCCTGGCCCCCCGGGCGACGCGTGACGGTCCTGCGACCGCGCGCTGCCCTCCCCGGACGGAGCTGCGCCGGCTAGGTGCCCCCAGCCTGCTGCGCCCCCCCCCTGGGGGCGCGTGGCGTTCCGCGGCTGCGCGCTGCCCTCCTTGGTGCAGTTTGCCTCTGCCTCGCCGCCAACGAAATAGTATTTTGACAGATGCCCACCGCCTGCACACATGGGTTCTCACCCGTTTCCCCGTGCGCGCACGGCGAATGCTGGAAAATGTCAGCCCAAGAGGCCCCGAAAAGGCGCCTAAGAGGCCCCCAAAGAGCCCCATGAAGCCCCAAAAGGGCTCCAAGAAGCCCCCAAAAAGCGCACAAGGGGCCCCCGGGAGCAACACGCAACAACCGCCAGCTCCCCAAGGGGTCGGCGGTGTGGCGTAAGCCCAAGAATCCACGTCCGGAAGGGACGTGCTGAGCGGCTGCGTTTTCGGCGGAGGCGATAATGCAACGTATCCCATGCATCCAACCGTGGTATAATTACCACATATTGCACTGTTTTACAATATTACCCCCCTTGGAGTCGCGCCACTCCGCGGCACCAAATCTGGAGGCCCTCACTCTTTGGCCCAAACCTGCAAAAAACAAATCAACAATTTCGGCCTCTTGGGCCTCTTGGGACTCCAAGAGAACCTCAAGAGGGCCCAAGATGGCTCCAAGACGGCCCAAGACGGCCCTGGATGGTCCCAAGAAGGCCTGTGAGGCCCCAAGACGGCTGAATGGGGGCCCCAAGAAGACTCGAAAGAGTGCCTCCAAGAGCCATGTGCCGTTAGTTATTGAAAGATGTTAGCGTTCTCGCCTTTTCCGGCTCTGAGAGGACCACGACGGCCCAAGCAGCCTCCTAGAAGACCCCAAGACGGCCAAAGAGGCCCCCAAAGGGGCCCCAGAATTGCTCAAGAGGGCCCCGACACGGCCAAAAGATGCCCCCAAGACGGTCCAAGGGGCCCCCAAGACGGCCCAAGAGAACTCCTAAGGCGGCCGCGAGAGACCTCCAAGATGGCCTCCGAGGGGGCCAGACGGCGCAAGAGCGCCCCAAGCCGGCGCAAGACGTCAACAAGAAGCCCCAAGCGGCCCCAAAGCGGCCCCAAAGCGGCCCCAATGACGCCCCAAGAACCCCCCACGAGGCTTTCTAGAGGCTCCCAAGAACCCCCCATGAGGCCGCCCAGAAACCCTGGGGATGGCAGGACGGAGCGGCACGCACGCGCGGCAGCCGAGCAGGTCACGCCAACCAACGCCCACACCTTCCACATTTGAACACTCGCACAGCGGCGGCTACCAGTGTGGATCGGTTTCGCGGCGCCTACTCTGCCCGCCAGCAGGCGGGGCAGAGCAAGTCTGCTCTGTAACGCTGGGAGCTGCGCGCCGCTTCTCGCATAAACACTACCGAGCACCGCGCGCTTTTTTAACACCGGCCTCCGACTGGGCCACACGCCGCAAAAACGCCCCAAGACGGCCCAAGACGCCCCCAAGAGGCCTCAAAGAAGCCCAGTGCAGAAGAGGCTCCAAGAAGCCTCCAAGACACCTCCAAGAGGCCACAAAGAATCTCCCAAGAAGCACCGCAACGACTGGACTGTACGTGCTCTGGACGTGCAACCCGCGAAGCGAGAGGAATCATGGACTTTAGACTGTGGAGAGAGCGCGTTTCACGGGCGCTTGGCTTGGGAACATTCGGAGGCGCGTTTCGAACCGACGGGGTGGCCCCCCCCCCAACACTCGGCGCCGTCGATCAAAAACAAAAGGGGTTGGCCGCCAGCGGCGCCGACGGCGGGGACGCAGCGACAGGATGACCAGAGGCAGCCCAAGGGGGGAAGGGGGGGGGTTCAAACCCTCCCCCCCCCCCACCTGGCGTCGGCGCGGGCGCCGGCGCTGGCGCTGGCGACGGCGGGGACGCAGCGACGATTACCACCACTACCACCACCGCCACCACTACCACCACCACCACAGCCTCAACCCACCATCACCAGTACCAACCCACCACACAACAACCACCACCACAGCCAGCACCACCACCACCACCACAACCATCACAACCACAACCCACCATCACCACCACCACATAAACCAACCATTACCACCACCACCTATTTACCACACCACCACCACCACCACCGCCACAACCACCACCACAAACAGCAGCACAACCCACCACCACTACCACAAACCACCAAACCACCACCACCACCACCCCCACCACCACCTCCACAAAACACCGCCACCACCACAACACACCACCACCACCACCACCACAAACCACCACCACACCACAACCAAACCACCACCACCACCACCACCCACCACCACCACTACAAACCACCACTACACCACCACCAAAACCAACATCCACCACCACACCACCCCCACCCGCCACCACAACCCCACCACCAAAACAAACCACAAAAATCACAACCACCACCAAACAACACGCAACAACCACCACCACAACCACCACCACAACCACCACCACAACCACCACCACCGCCACCACAACCCACCACCACCAACCACCCATTCCCCTTGTTCCTTTGTCGAACGCTCCCCAATTCCCCAGCCCCCGCCGCCGCCGGCGCCGGCGCAGGCCCAGAAAAGGAAATCGTCCTCCCCGCCGCCGCCGCCAGCCGCCGCCGACGCAAGCGCCGGCCCGAGGAGAGAGGAGAGGGAGGGAGGGGGGGGGTTCGAACCCCTCCATCACGGGAGGGGGGGGGGTTCGAAACACAACAAACACCCCCCCCCCTCCATCAAGGGGTCCAGGGGGGGGGGTCCGATTCCCCCCCCCTCCAAGCGACCACAGAACGGACTCTTTCTGACTGTGACGCCTCTTTGCGAAGCGCTGACGTCGGGAGATCTCGCTCCCAATCGAGCGCACCATGCAACTTGCGATCCGCGCCCACTTCTGGCCGGTTAGGGGGAGGCCGCCCGAGGAGTCTGAGGCGGGGGCCTGGGTCGGTGCCCACGCAGGCGGCGGGCCAGGAGCGCCTCGCGCCAACCACGGAGAGGACGGGGTAGGCATCGAGCAGCGAGGCCGCCCGACAGAAGCATGCCATATGGTGGCTGGCAAGCCACACAGAGCTGTGTACCGAGGCTTCACGGGTTGAACCCCCCTTCTGCGGGCATGATGTCAACTCACGAGCCACTCTGCTGAGCCGAGCCCAATCAACAGGTCACACAGCAACGGGTAATGTCCAGGCGATGCTCTAACAGAACCCGTCATCGCGAAGCCAACAGTGCGTATGTATGCTTCAAGTGACGGCGAGGAACAGGGGCATTTGGGGGCAGAGGCAACAGAAGGAGGGGGTCAAAGAGGCAAGAGATAATCACTGGCAAGAAGGAACAAGGAAGGAGGTGAGTGGAAGACGGATGAGGGGAAGAGGGAAGGAGTGGAGGAGGGGAACGCGGAGAAAGGAAGGGGCGAGGTGAAGGGGCAGGGGGAGGGATGACACGGAGGCGGAAGACGGGGTGGGGGTGGGAGGAAGAGAAGTGCAGGTTGTGATTAAGAAGGGCGAGGGGTGGAGAAAGTGAGCAGAACATGGGGGAACCGATCACCATCCCCACTGGCATGGCCTTGGTCCCACTGGCCGACTCAGCCCCCTGGGTGCAGGTACATGCTGTTCTCTTCGGGCTTCGCGGGACCTATCCCCACCTTGGGGGGGGCGTGCTGGTGGGGCTGAGATACCATAGCACAGTGGGGATGGGGATCGGTCAGACGGTGCTGATGACCCAGACATCCAGCTGCTCCAATATTGTTCGATGCGTGGGCCCTGGAGGTCTGGATCACTTCCCTGGGGCAGGTTTTTCGTCCTGAGTCGTTTTGCTGACGGCCCCGAGGCCCGGCGAGGGCCGCCGGCGGCCGAAAACAGCCAAAAGACCGCCCGCTCCGCTTGTGGTTGGAGCTTCGGATCTCTGCGGAGCGGGGGGGAGAGACGGGGGAGGGGAGAGGCGGAGGGCAGTGCGGCGGGGGAGGGAGAGCGGAGCGGAGGGGAAGCCGCACTGCCCCCAGCCTTGCGGCATCGACCGGTAGCCGCGCCCGCGGTCGGCAGAGGCCCCGCGGGTCGCCGCAGCGTCCAGCGGTGAGCCCTTGCGGTCGTCGATCGCCTCGCGGGCGGAGGACGGTGAGGATGATGGGGCGAGTCAGAACCCATCGGGCGGTCCGAATCTCCACGCCTCCCAAAGCTTTGCGCCAAAGCCCTCCGGTCCGGGCTGGGATGGTGAGTCCTGGGGCCAGGACGGCCACAGCCAGAGCCGGTGCCAGGGTGCACTTTGCTGCTCTCCCATGAGCACCCCGTCGTTCGCCCCGTCCGCGCGCGCGCGTCACACAGGCTGGCACGGAGGGCTGTGAGCTCCGAAAGCTGTTCAGGCTCGAATTCTTGAGCACGTCCCTACGCAAGCCGAAGCCTTCTGTTCACATGCTGGACCTTGGGGCACTGAGGAAGCGGGGGAGCGGACCACACGAGAGAGGCGGCGAGGGGAATCGCGAAGGGGAGAGGACGGAGAAAGAAGTCAAGGAGGGAGGGAGGGCGCGAGAGGGGATGGGGAGTGGAAGGGAGTGGCAGGTCCGTTGTTGTAGCACGCTCATGGCGTGCACCATTCGCATCATGCTGCGGTCGTGGGCCAAGGAGGGGATGGGGCCGACAAGGGAGGGGGCAAGGTATGGGAAGGGCAGGGGGGTTGGGGGCAAGTGAAACAGAGGCTCTTCAACAAAGGTCCCCTAGCGAACCCGAAGCGACTGAGTACACGGTATCGCTGCAAATCCTTGTGAACTGCCATCCGCATGGCTCATCGGTTACGACCGATCAGTCACAGCATTGACCACGATCAAGCAAAGAGACGGCAATCATACAATGACTAGTCGAAGATGCGGCGAACAAGCTAACAAAACAAGATGGTTGACGACCACACGAGCGGAACGATAGCATGCCGTACGGCAGAACTGAAACATGACGCTGCATCTCACTTGTGGGAGCCCCTCTCCCAGAAGCAAGTTCGTGTCGCGACGATCCAGGCGTTGGATTCTGACACCGCGTGGATCGGGCAACCTTGAACGATCAACGGCCGCTCGATCGCCAGATCGTTCCATGTTGGCAGATTCTGGGCCGCTGGCGGCGTTCAAAACCTTGAACGCTGGCGGCGGGGTCGCCGCCGCGTCGACACGACGCGAACCTGCCGTATCCTCCATTCAGGGCGCTCCCGCTGCCAATTCTCACCAGCCCGACCCCGCTCAGATACTCGATGTGTGCACTGGGCACCTCAGTTTGCGGCCAATCTGCGGCAAGACCACGGCCGTGCCGCGCGGATCACGGCTGGGCCACGACCCGATTACTCCCGATTTAACAATGAAAAGGGGGTGGTCTGTTTTGGGGGGGTCAAATTTGCGCCGTCTTGGAGGGGGTCTGGGCCAAAGGCCGCC